CACCGGTGATGAAAAATGGATTCTCTATGCGAATATTAAACGCCAAAAACAATGGCTCAGTCTTAGACAAAAACCACTCCTGACCCCAAAACCTGCAGAAAGTGATGCTTTGCATTTGATGGTACATCAAAGAAGTAAATCATTTCGAACTCCTCAATCCACAGCGAACTGTCAATGCAGAGATCTATAGTCAGGAACTGGGACGTTTAAATCAAGCCCTTCATCAGAAATGCCCTTCAATCGTCAATGGAAAGGTGTTCGTCTTCTCCATGACAATGCACGTCCACATGTGGCACGTTGGATGCAACACAAGATTATGGAGTTGGGTTGGGAAATTCTCCACCACCCACCATATTTTTCCGATATGGCACCATCAGATTACCATCTTTTTCGTCCGCTGCAAGACCATCTTAATGGGAAAACGTATGCAAATGTGGAAGGTGTTAAAGAGGGCATGTACATGTTTTTTGCTTAATAGCCAAGTGATTTCTTTAATCAGAGCATTAATAACCTGTTTGTAAGATGGAAAAGCATCATCAATAAGAATGGAGACTATTTCATTTAATAAATGTTTTGTTTTGATATATAAGTTGTTCGGGTTTTTCATCTAAAAAAGCGGCATTAATTTCTTGACGACCTAATAGTTTAAATTCAAGCCGTTACGAGATCGTTCACAAGCTTATTACGTCACCTACTAGCAAAGTGTATAGGTTGAATGTAGTTTTACTTGCTGTATTCTCTCAATGCTTAATTTAGTTCCCCTCTTAAGAGAAATCCAATATTTTGGAGGCAACTAAGTAAACATTTATTAAAAATCTTTCTTGTTGAAAGAAACATAATATTTTTTTTCTAATATAAAATACAGGAAAGTCTAACGTTTTTTTAAAAATAGAAAAATTTTTTAAAAAGTTCGAGAATATTTAATATGCATTTGTTTCAAGGTCAGAATGATGATATTGAGTCAAAGCTGATATGAACGGGTTAAATTAATTAGATTATTAAAATAATTTAATCGTTTCTAAGATGAACAGGTTAAACTAGATAGATTGTTCAAAAGTTTTTTATTGCTCCCAAGATGAACAGATTAAACTAATTAGTTTATTAAAAATAACCTCGCCGTATCTGAAATTAAAAGGTCAACCTAATTAGATTGTTAACAAAATTCTGATATGAACAGATTAAAATAACTAAATTATTAAAGATAATTTCTCCTTTTTTGATAGGAACAGGTTCAATTAACGAGACTGTTAAAAATAATTCCCCCGTTTTGTATTTTCACATTGAGTAGATGTACAACTGAAAATGTTAATTAGACCACTTATAGTTGACATGTGAGTCAGATTTTTGCGTGTATGAGTCTAATTTTCTATACTTGTATTATCACTTTCAGGTCATTTTCTTGGTAATGACACAATTCTAGACTTCATGAAAAGTCAAGGATATGAAATTGAACATATTGGAGCCAATGAGAAGTTAACACAGTGAGTATTGTGAATTTGGCGCAATTTCTAATGCTTGCGCCATCTACTGACCATATTTGGAACGTAAATATTCTCGCAGTTTAGATACTATAGAAACAGAAACTAGTTACTAGAAGTAGTTAAATATATGTATTTAATAATATGCTTTTCTTAAGCAGTTATTCAACAAATCTCTTACTTCTTTAGCTTTGTTGTTTTGACACTAAATAGTTAACCCAACTTATATATAACATATAACATATTCGAAAAACAAAACAAAAACTTTGCATAAGTGATACAACACAGGCCGTTTATCAAATGTAGTTGTATAATAATGATGAAAATAGTATAAATGTGTTTTTATTGGCAGACACAATGTATGTCAGGATTGAACATACGACAAACTTGTCCCTAGCGGCATATTAGTAGTAGTCTATGTATCAGAATATAAAATGGAAGAAACCTAATCCTAGCGGTACTTTTAATAGGACTCTTAGAGGAAATCACAGTAGCAGGTACTATATACGTCAGAGGCGTTGCTTGGGCCCAGAACTCGCGGAAAGTTTCGGCGTTTCAGTATGATATTGATCCTTGTTTTTTATTCTGATTTTTAAAGCGCAAATGTATTCGGGGCACGGACGCCTCTGGTATACGTCAATGTGGAAAAGTGTACAAAATAGTCACTAGATGGAACCACAGAGCAATCACCATGTATTTCAGTGTGGAAAAGAACACAAACTTGTACCCAGTGAGGTACTTAGTACCGGTGATTAAGTTTTTCAAGGAGTTTAATTTAATAAAATCTGAAATAATTTTGAGTTCTATTTTTTTTACAAATTTTTACCATACTGTGTTAACTCAGCAGTTGTGTGTATTGAAGTGCATGTAATCTTCATGTAAAATTTAATTTTAAAAATTTCAACTCTTGTCGTTTTACGATTTTCTATCAATATCGTCAAAAATTATAAAAAAAAAAATGTTCACGCGCACACAAACGAAATAATAACAAGCAGTTTGCTAGTGACAAAAAGATTCGTTAACGTGTTGAAAGGTATCTCTCTTATTTTGAAGATAATGTTTGCTTAAAAACTTTTTAACAGTTCTGTAAATAATCGCTGATTTGTAAAGAGAATCGCAATTTCATATGCTAAAAAACTGATTGGTCAATTCAGAGTTACCATAAATTTCTCAGTATTATATTTTTTATTCACAAAGTAAAAACTCATAACATACTACCCAGTGGGTCAGCGGTAAGGTAAGTTCGTAATGGGCTTACAAAGATAAAATCCAGAGTTCATTTCCACGTGGTAGACAGAGTGAAGACTGGGTAGCTTTGTGTTAATATAAACAATGTGAAAAGGGCTGTTTTATTTTTTAACGATAAATATTATTTTAATAAAATCAGTTAACATTACACGACCGTAGAGAAGTACAGTATTACACGACCGTATAGAGGTAACACATTACACGACCGTATAGAGGTAACACATCACACGACCGTATAGAGGTACAACATTACACAACCGTATAGAAGTACAACATTACATGACCGTATAGAAGTACAACATTACACGACCGTATAGACGTACAACTTTAAACATATCTAAAGCTTCATGTCACATTATAAAGACAATGTTGTATTCTATGTACATATCATAACCTAAAACACACACTAAAGAAAATAAAACTCAATTATTGTTGGTTTCAGAGTGATCCTTACATATTAAACTGAATGAAATGAGTGTAGAGCGACTTTTGTCCCTACCAATATGTAGAAAAATACTGTTGCGTCAGCGAGGTCACGTGACTAGTATCACGCCACCTGCTTTCTAGAAATATCCTGTTCCTTCAAGAATGCCCTAGCATTTACTAGATATATGTTAGTCTTGTATATATATATATATAAGACGGTCACAACAGAGGTAATGAGTAATTGAACTGCAGTCAGAGAGGATATTGTTAAGCACGTGAGAAGTTCGTTGAGAATTATAGCGTTTGTTACAGAGCGACTGTTGAAGTTGAATGTATCGTAAAGTTGTATTCCGAAAGAATAAACCAGTTTTATTTAAGAAAGGACTTGTGTCGCTAAAGTTTCGTCGGAACCAAGTTACGGAAAATTAACTAACGATTGGAGGCGTAACAATACTAAGTTTTTATTGGAGTTTTGTGGCATTTGATACAAACTATTTAGAACTTTACACATAACCGAGCTGAAATTAAATATCTTGCTTTACCAGCTTAAAAATACTTTATTTTATCATTAATTAGATCAACTTAGATCGAAACTAAAAACTCATCCTGGTAATGAGTATAGCTAACTAAATATACTTGTCTTATGTTGTTACTTGTAAAGATTAGCATGCATTGTTTCATCAGTTGGGTAATTACCATCTTAAAAATACTTTATTTTATCATTAATTAGATCAACTTAGATCGAAACTAAAAACTCATCCTGGTAATGAGTATAGCTAACTAAATATACTTGTCTTATGTTGTTGCTTGTAAAGATTAGCATGCATTGTTTCATCAGTTGGGTAACCTAACTGTTTACGACATTTTCGTAATTATGGGCTTCTATGTCACCTAAATTACATTTAATTACTCGAAGAAAAAGTCAAAATAAAACAATAACACTTTAAAATACGACTAATACACGTTCAGTATTATTTGTTGTTGAATAATTATCATTTTGTGTGAGTGAAGTATGAAGTATTTAACACTATCCCTTTTGTTTGTTGTTTTATCGCGTTTCATCCAATTTATGATTCTGTGCGTTTCGTGTTCCCATTTTCCGGTTTATAAGCAGGAACTATGATAGGAAAGAGAAATACTGGCCGTGGCTCCAAGTAACTCACACATCAGGATTTAGCAGTGACTCCAAACTAATGGATACTGAGAGAGGTAATGGTGCCAGCAGTTTTCAAACTTCCTACCAGGATCAGCCACGACAGAGAAAAAAAGGCTTCCAGTCCGAGTTGCACAGATCCAATGTTCGATTACTGCGAACAACACGTGCACCTTTCGCGAAGACTCCTCGCGGAAAGTTTAAAGACTTGTGGATCAGGCTGGATGCCATGACAACCAGGTAAGAAGAAAAATACCTAGTAAGGATATATTAATAACGGAAATGCTCATATATAACTAGTAAGGTAATATTGATAATGGAAATGTTCCTATATAACTAGGAAGGTAATATTAATAACGGAAATGCTCATATATAACTAGTAAGGTAATATTGATAATGGAAATGTTCCTATATAACTAGGAAGGTAATATTAATAACGGAAATGCTCATATATAACTAGTAAGGTAATATTGATAATGGAAGTGTTACTATATAACTAGTAAGGTAATATTAATAATGGAAGTGTTACTATATAACTAGTAAGGTAATATTAATAACGGAAATGATCATATATTAATAATGGAAGTGTTACTATATAACTAGTAAGGTAATATTAATAATGGAAGTGTTACTATATAACTAGTAAGGTAATATTAATAATGGAAGTGTTAC